AATAAATTTTTGATTAATCCTACTACTTATTTACTTCATTACGGAAATATTTTACATCAAATTCACACTCCTTTCTTTGCTTCGAGCAAGTTTCTATCTTTCGTGTTTCATTTGGCATATATATATATATTTATATATATATATACAGGTTTAATTCAGGATTGCTTGCAACGTACCAAACTTTAGTGCTCACAAGTTGAAAGCATATTGGCAACATTATGACACCTTAAATACCGGGACTCACATAGTTTGGCTTATACTTTTTGTGGTACGTTAGGAACAACGGAGTGGAGAAACACATGGTTTTATAACTTATCATTGATTACTTTGAAGAGGAGAAATCGACAGGCTACTTTTTATATATTATATCAAGATTAGTCAGTCAGTAAATGACTTCTGTTATTTATTACGGAATTGTAAATCGGTTTTTTTCTTTGGTCATTTTCGTTGTATACAGACTAAATTCAACGGGAACCGAAAAGCTAGGGGGAAAACTTACCTAAATTCAATGTTGTAACAGACGATTGCGGATGGAGGTCTTTTTGAAACATCAATTAAACGTTACTTGCACCGTTTTCACTCCGTCCTACTCGAAACATGATACAGTAATGAGTAAATATGCATGCCAACACAGTACGCTGCTTACTGACTGAATTCTCGTAAGAAATGAACCGTTATCGTCCTTTTGGTAAGCCAAAATTATTTTTATGTTTAAGTTTACTAAACTACTAAAACATAATGAAACAATATTTAGTAATTGATAGGCGGCATGCAGTGGGTGATATGGATCTGACTAGGTAATAATCATATCTTACCTTCGTGTCCAATCTTTAATTTTTCCGGATAAACTTAAACCCAGAAAAAACCAAAATCGGAGTTCGCTCTTCTATTGCACACCTGACAACCCGTCGAGGCTCCAAACATCGAATCTCTTGCTTGAGAGACCTGGCCCTCAACCAGCTCACACCAGGACTATCACATTTGAAATTCCGAGTTTCTTCACACGATGTATTGCGTAACGGTTACTTCATTAAAGCCGATAACTAGGAAGACATATGCTCGATTACCTTTTAAGCATATCAGGAAATGAGGATACCTTTGTGTATGAAAACAAAACACAGAGGGTCGTTAGTTAAAATTATTAAATTATTTACTCAATTTGTTGCAAAAAACGGCAATACTTAAGCAAATGATTTTACGTTACGATTTTTAGGTTAGGCAAAAAGTAGTGGTACGATTTGTGGTCAGTAACGCCAACTACTTGAAATTAGAAGCCAATCAACTTATGCATCCAGTTTTTTTCACACACAACAATAATAAAGATCGATTCACTAAATGCAATTAGGTAACGGCTTACAGATGCAACTCATGGGATATTGGATTAGTAGTCAAATCAGCTCACATTTTTCATTCAACAGAATGCCAAAACTCTAGATTTCATTCCAAAGATTTTTCACACAATCTCCACTGCTTTTCAAGCCATTATCATCCGAACCATGGTTAATCCCCCTGACTATTCACTTGGGAGTAGTGGAGTAAACGATTCTATAAATAAATTGTCAGATGCGGAAAACAAGCATAAACATTTTGGAATACAAATCTTAAGGGAAAAAAGAAAAGATTACATCGAGTTCATTATGAAAATATCTCCTATTATTTATTAGAATGTAATAGGTTATGAGTTATTTGAACTTTCGTAAATATCGTTATTCCTCCGAGGGTTCCACAGCAGTCAAGCTTAATTATCCTCTTTTCAGCTGTAAATAACTTATTGTACATCAACCACCTGTTGGTTATACGTCGGACTATTCAGTGTTTCCATTACCAAGCACATTGAAGACAAACCAACGTTTTGCACATCCTGAAACGTGTTCTTTAGTTTGAAGTAGAGGAGGTTCGTTACGATAAACTTTTAGCCATGATGGACACCATAATAGAATACAAGGAATCTTAGTTTTATAGTAGCTCAATTAAAAGTAATTAAAAACAAACCTTTGAATTCGCCCAACGGTGGAGGGGGGCTGAATATTGTTCAGCTGCTACAAAATCACCAGTTTTTGAATACTGGTAGAGGTTGATGATTTCCTTGAAAAGGCTATTAGTGTGTCATTCAGAAATGGAAGGATGGTAAATTCGAGATAACAGACAAACACTGTGAATATTTCTGATATGGTATCAATAACTGCGCTCCAATGAACACCGACCACGGTAACATATAAACAGAATCATAGCAATCTGTTTTTCTGACGCTGAGTAAATAACTATGCCTAAGTAGCATGGATATAATAGAAGAAAGGTGCTCCTATCGATAAACGAAATGCAAATTCCTTTAATATTTATTTTCAGATGACCGGTTCATAATCATTCTCTGTTAAACAAAAAGGTTTGACTGTTACATAATGTGGTTATTTCGTGTATTAAAAAGCATTGATCGTTTTTCCACCTGATATGCCCCTGGTGATAAGTCTCTAAATTTGTACGTATTAAGAGCAGTTATATTTCAAAATAAACGTTGATAGTGAACTCCTAATTGTGTGATTAAACAATATGTATTGAGTACTTTCACTGTAAACTAACAGTTACCCGAGTGACGATCATCTTAAGAACGTTTCAAGTAAAACCAAATATTGAAAAGAATAACAGATAAGTACCGTCCGACCCACCGGTTTTATATTTGTAGGTTAAAACCAACTACTCCAAAAACGATACTGTGCAAGTAATTCGTCGGTGTTGACCCGGTAGTAACGTCATCAAATTATCACCACGGAGGACGTGGGTTTGATTCTCACCAACGCCGCCTGACTTTCCCCATTGGTGTGTTACAATGAAAAAATATTGGACAGTCGCAGACTAGAAAAACCGGAAGGTGCAAGGCACAAACACAAACGTTTACCAGGCATCTAACTGAAGTACATCAACAATCTAACCAAAGGGGTACAATCAGAATCACCAGCTTAAATTCGATATAAAATTTCTACTGCAATATTCATCACAATGTGTCCACCATAACTGGCATAATGTCAGCAAAACAAAAGACAGTTTTCTGTCTTTTTCCTGATAGAGAGCGTTTGAAAAATTTTAAGTGGGGTTTGATCAAGCTATCTACTTGTAATCCATTCGATTTATTCTTCACAGAATTTACTCAGTAAATTCGCTCAAGTTTATATTGTAAACTAGTTTAACCCAAATAGTGCTTTTACTCGAGCTCAAAAGTAGCGCTTATCGAATTTCCCGTTCATGTTTCGAACACCAGCCCCACTACATATAATAATATTGTAGTTTATCTTACATCGATACACAAAAGTGACTAGGAGTCGATCGATAGTTCGCAGTAGGCATTTTTGATCATCAGCAGGTGATCCATTTGCATATTCGTTTGTAATACAATCACTGTGTTTTTCATGTCAAACACAAGTCTTCAGGGAATTGCTAACTATCTGCATCAAACATGAAGATGAACTGTCACCTCCAAAAAAGAAGATTCTCGTGCTTTGTTCAACCGTTTTTATGCTGGCAACAGTGCATTTATTCCTAATAAATAGCCCGGATCAACGAATCCACCTTAACAAGAATGCTCAGACTATATTTTATAGTCATTTATTTCAATTTGTAAATCAAAATACATTTCGCCTTTCACTATTCCGGTGCTTATTTCGAAGTGATCATTCAAAATCATTATGCTGAGGTTTTATCTTTAAACATAGTATAACTTTCATGAACTAAAATAATGCTTAAGTTTTGTCTAATGCAGTGACTCAGATGATTCGTTTGTGAATGTTGAGTTTTCATTGAAAAATAAACTCATTGTGAGATGCGTCTCCGGCCACGAAGAGAAAAAATTGGTCCACTAATGGAAATTCCTTCAGAAGAGGATTCTCCTTCAATGAACATGAGAATATTCATAAAAATTTAGGCAAAAACTCGTTCACACAGCAGCTCAAAGTTGAAATCCATTCATAATTTGTATGTGAAGTGAGTTATTGTACTTTAACTGTGAAAGCACGTCTCTGTTGGTTGCCGCACACACGTGCACAAGCATGCTATGTGAATGTTGATACTTAATTGCGCCGCATAAACACGGTCGCATTTTGCACAATGCGTCTGCCAGTTGATAACTCAAATAGAATGTGTTCATCCATAACCCTCGATTGTCCACCCGGACCAATCGATCTGTGTTGTGATGTATTGTCCTGATTTAACAGGACATTTTTATGCTTATTTCAATGCATACCGACTGCGCCCTAGTTCCTGTTTTTGTTGTTTTACCGTTTATCAGCATCTTACAATCATTTACCATTATGTTAATCTACTTAAAAAATGAATATCACGGAACATAATGTGATTATCAGAAAATCTATCTATAATAACACCAACGAGGGACGGAATCGAAACATCTAAACNAAACACCGCGTAGATTTCTGTCTTGCACAGAATTGCTGTGAGACATGCAAAAGCAAATTTTCTCATGACCGGCTATAGTTCCTATCCGATAGAAAAAGAAACCCGATTCCGTCTGAGAAAGTAATCGATCCCACAAAATAAATGTTTCAGCAAACAAGGGAAGCAGTTCATTTAAGGGAATCACTTTTCTTCTTCGAATAAGTGTTTTTATCAAGTCATCAAAAGAGTTCTTTGAATTTTGGATTGTACATTTTGATGGATCAAATCGTGAATGGCCGTTCATGTTTCATATTTACTGGCTGAGGTAAACAAGAGTAAAAAATGGACAACAACAACGGCAATCGCATCAATTCACTGTACCTTTGATTCTATCGCGTGAACATTTTACCCGCCATACTGAACACAGTCACACGAGGTAAAAGATCAAGTGTCAGATTAACTTCACGCAGAAATGTGTGAAAATCGGCAGGGTCCGTATCTGACATTTTACACGGTTGCCGCACAATCCCCGGGTCGATGCGATCGTCGAGTTGGAATTGGGCTAAAGTGGACAGCCAACAGATCAAGGATTACGGTACGGTTCTCATCACACGGTCTCTCTATGCTCTTGTTTCTAAACCCGCGGTGGAACTAATTGACTTTGGCTCAGATCGGCAAAACATATTCTTTAGTTCCGTGCGGAAACCGGAATGAGTAAACACGTAGATGGGAAAGTTTAAGCAGTTGTGAATATACACCAGAATATATGTGCCCAACCAAGCAAGCATCATTTCTCGAGTAACTTGTACTTGGGGAATACTCCGGAGCAGATGGACCACCGCAAATGGTAAATTGAAAACCAGAAAAACAAAAGTGATCCACAGTAGCATAATAGTGGTTTTCATATGACGCACGTGCTTGCCGGCAGTGTCACCGATGAGGGAACTTGTTGACGGTTTGGTATTTGCTTCGTGCACTAACCCATAGCGTTCATGCGTAGCTCCAGACGGGTCTGTCGGACTGAGCATACGTCTTTCATCCATCTGTTTGTTTCCACCTGTTGTCTGGAGTGGAATAGCTTGCTGTAGCTTTTTGATCGAATGTGTAAAGTTGCGAATAACATATATGATGTAAGAATTGCAGAAAAGAATGACAGTGAAGGGTAAACCAAAAAGTAGAAGCATATCTATAATATCAATGAAAAGAGCTTCTTCTTCATACGTATACGTGCAAATGTACGTGTGTCGCTGAGTGAACACGCCGGGCTGAATGTTTTCGCCGTTTACGGTTGAATTCAAGTTCAACTTCAAGTTTATAAAAGGGACTTGAGCTAGGTCCACCCCGGTGCACAAGATAAGTATCACCAAAGTACCAACGAGATCAAATGACGGTCGAAAACGTCTGTTTGGCTGATAGACGGCGATAAATCGTTCTACACTGAGCAAAGCCACGAGACAGGAACTCATATGAGACAGTGTCATTGTCAAAAACCCCAGAATTTTGCACCAGTTCTTACTCCATTCGGCAGGTGACGTTTCAAACACGGTATTGATCCAAAATGTTGTCAGGCCGAACAACAGAACAAGACAATCAACCACTGCAAGTGTGATAAGTGTGATGCGGGAAGGCAGTCGAACAAAAGGTTTCTTACTCAGCACAATCAGAGCAAGACTATTTTCTGTGACTCCAATCAGAATGAGCCATGGCGCTAAGTAACTCCAAACAGGAGAATCGTGTGCAATAGCACTACCTTCTTTGATGTACGTGTTTGAATTCTTGTGCATAATTCCTCTACTCGATTAACTGCTTCCTACTGAGCGTTGGTCTGCAGAACCTGACAGTGCTATAGTCAGAATTGGTTAAAATGCCAGATATTGGTTCTGTGCGTTTGCCCTTTTGTGATTGGTTCACATGAGAAAACCAATCAACAGCAGACTATTCATTTTTCCCATGCTAACATGTCGAATATGTCTGTTTTTAAGATATCACACACCACAAGAAACAAAAACGACACTATTTTCCTCAATTCTTTGCACTTTTATTTGTATGTTATGTAAGGGTGTACATGAATGCCAGATGTACATTGTTAAACTAGCTCTGCAACGCTTAAATTCTGATAGACATAAATTGGATTTTGGACATAAATGGCCTTAACCAACTTACTTATTATCTCTTGAAGATAACATTGAAATTATAACGCTTGGTTTTCGAAAGATTACTTCAGCCTCAAAATGTTTTAGGTGCACCAAATACGAAATTTTACAACTTTTTCTTAGATTTCATACCATATTGCCTGAATGACTGAACTCCACACATGTGTCTAACCATGCTTGTTTTACAAGCATTTTCCCGGGAAGGATTTATATAATTTGTTGCTTTCCTAAAGCACTCAACTAAGACCGCCTTTTATCGGGACGTTGAATACGGTGCCTAACAAATGTACCCAATCCTTTTGTCTAGTCAAACTGTGGTTATCAGTTAGTCAATCCACTGCCCGGAGAGAATGAGTGAGCAATAGGTTTACAGGAGAGACAAAACGTTTATTCACAAAGGCAATAACCACACTGCACCAATTCTATAGCAGTAACGATCAGTTTGATTTCAGTAAAATGGAAAGCGCCTTTGTTCACTCAGAAGCTGCAATGCTTTGAGTTACAAATATTGGCCCATTGAAAGTGTCAACCAGTCACCCTCTTTCGTTTGGATATGATAAAAACACCTTCCTTTAGTTGATCATAGCGGAATGTTTCTTTAGTTAGGCGACAAAGTTCCATTGTTGGAAAGTACAAAATGGTGAGGGTTTTGTTTAACAAAAGCTCTTAAGCTCCTCTCTGACAATTAAGTTACCAAGGCTGCATCCTTTCTGACGTAATAACTTTGTTGAATGTGTAAGAAATTCAAAAACAAAACAGAAATTCCGGTGTTCCTAAGACGTTTTCAACCTTAAACAGAAAGTGGGAAAATAATTTTTTTTCATCATCCCAGGAACATTAATTTCTCTTCACTGTAATAGTTGTTCTCTAGTGCTTAGAATGATTGTTTTTTTAACTCCCTTGTAACGAGAAAAACGTTTGCTTTAGTAGATACAAGTGTGCGAAATGGAAATTTTCTCCAACGGAAATGTTGGAAGCTTACTTTATCGCTCATTCGTATAGGATTACACATCATCTAGTAAAATATTTTTAATTTTTTACTTTCATCTTTGTTTTTCTATCATAGCTGGAGGCCGCGGTCATACCAAGGCTGCTCGGGGAAATACAGAAAACAAGACAACGGGCTTCGGTGGCAAGCATTTAACATAAAACCTCCTAGTGGCTATTTTGACAGCCTTACGACTTAATCATTGATATCTATTTTGGTGGATAACTAATAAGGAATAAAAAGGAAGACAGAAGTGACTTTCGACCATGAATTATTAAACTGAAAAAGCACACCGAATTCCAATTGATTCAATTTTAACAAGCGCAGTCTAATGGTAAACTGCACTTCCCTCTGTTCACATAAATCCTATAACTCTCTCCATTGTAATATTTGTCCATTTTGCTTGGATGAATGCAACTGTAAGCACGATCGATTATTGATTTATCAAAATACGGGGTTGAACCACAGTATTCATAGCATACACGAAAGTCTGTGTATCATAATCAGCTTGCATCTGTTGAACGTTATGTCCAACTCATTGGTTGCCGCTCTATCTGACATGCATAATTTGGTAAAAGAAAAAGAAGAATTCGCATTGCGAGCTACACGCACTTTATTTTTTTCATGGGTTATTGCAGATTTATCCATTCGAGGTTCAATATACAAAGAAATAGTAATCGGTGTGAGCTCGCGAAAACGTCCGAAAGTGGATGTCAGGGGAGGAGAATCGGTGACGCGGCAAATGCACATGAATTATTATCCTTCACATGAATAAACTTTGCCTCAAGCTATAACCAATGATACTGGAATCCTTTAACTGGCTGCGGTAACGCCAACTGTTACGTTATTCAATGTGTGATCTATTTTGTAAGGTGCGCTATCACTTAAAGGAAAACAATTCGTTATATGACTGTATATCCAACTGCAACTACAAATGTACTGGTCAAATATAAAACAACACTTCACACATCCTAAAAGGGCATGGACCGAGTAACCTTTTTTCCCTTGATTCCTATGAAATGGTACAGAAAACACAATGGTTACATCGATCGATTATTAAGCAAGACGCACGTGCAACAGTGTTTGGTTAGGTAAATAGTAAAAGAAAACTGTAAAATAAACTTTCTATTATATTAGCTATATTCATTGAACCACAAATTTCGCTGAATCACAGGACTGTGGGAGGACTACAAAGAAACTAGAGAACGAATAAAAGCCGACTCTTTGATAAGCAATTTTTTCGCCTCATAAAGAGAGACGCAAGTAAAACTCTATAACGTCTATTCTTGAACGTTTAAGGATACATGAACGTAAACGTAAAAGCGATCGTACATCGGTGAAGATTGGTTTAAAAGTCTCTGGTTATTCACATATGATTCAGACGTTTGCCGTTCCTCCCACAACAGGGGGTACAAGATTTTATGATAGATCGACCTCGAAGTCATCTTGAACTCAATAACATTTTGTGTATTGAATAATAAGAATTTAATGCTATCTAGCTGATTTTCCTTTATATTTCTCAAAAACTGCTAAATGTTCTTACTTGTGCTGTGCGGAGGACAGTCCGAGCAGTGTGAGAATCTTACGCTGGCGGGAAAGCCAGTTTTACCGTGACCGCAGAGAACTGATATCTAATCTTCCCTTGCAGTCCTCTCGAATTCACACCTGATTTTTCCCTCCTATTATTTTCACATAACAAATTTTCTACTGTTTTGGAAATGTGAAAATTAAGCACCTCCCACACGTAAACTCTCTGAAGTATGTAAACAGATAGGCCGAGTGGAGGGGAATCCAATGCCATAGTTACAAATCGCAGTGATATTCAAAGATTCAAAGATTTATTATGGGAATAACTTACAAGCTCGTGCTTTTCTGGTCCCATAGGTTCGTGCGGTGGAGTAAGAAACAGTGATACACAATTCTTTTTGTAAAATGCCACGTGATACGTGCGTTTTCCACTGCTTTACGCAGCTTTACTTATGTTGGAACGTAAGATGTGCTAGTGTTTCATCGAGCCTCAGTTCGAAAGACTCAATGCTTGGAGCACAGACGACGT